GTTTGTTTTTTGTTGTTTTTGTTTGTTTGCTTGTTTTGTATGGTTATTTTTTGTTTCATTTTGGGTTCTGTTTTAGGCTTGGTGGATGGTTGGCGGATGCTCTGATGTGGCCTGCTCCTTCTGTCCTATCAAACATCTATCGTCCTTAAACCTTTCTCATTTGCTCTCTGTAGGCCTATGTTACTCTCCAGTAGTAATACCTCTAATCTTCGGCTCTATAAATATGACCTATTTACGCGTTGCAAGTACCATAAAACTCTTACTAAAATAAATCTTCGTTTTATTTAGGGAAAGTGAGCAAGATAGCGCTTAAGTGCTGTGTGTTTAATCTGATGTGGTAGTCTCTCTTTACACTCTTGACATAAAGTAGGATTGTAGGATAAAGGGGGGTTAGGGGGTGGAGGAGGGGAAAATCATCGAGATACCCATAATATAGTAATAATATGTAGCATGTATGAATATGGAGAAAGGAGATGGAAGAAGCCTGGTGAAAAAAAGAAATTATTTAGGAAGATTAAAGAACTCACCTGGTGTATTCCCACCATCGCCACGCGCTTCGCTGTAGTTTTTATTTAAGCGCTGTGTATCTGCTCAGTTATTCATAAATCCGTCTTCGTTTTTAATTTATCTAGGGAAAACAAGCAAGATAGAGTGTAGATTTGTGCGTGCTTTCTGATGTGAGGAAATTTAGGGCAGAGGGACGGGACTAGCAGAGAGGAAAAGGGGGTTGGGGGAGGGGGGGGGAGGTTGTAGAGATGGAGACAAAGAGTCGGACAGATAGACAGACAAAGAGATAGACGTAATATTAAAGTCAAATATGTAGCTTACTAGTATTTAGAGAAAGGAGAGGGAACCTGGTGTCAAAGAAAAATGTTTGGGAAGATTAAAGAGCTCACCTGTATTTCCACCACCTTCACGCGCTTCACGAGGTTTAGAAAAAATAATAAATGTTGCATACCTTTCTGCTCATTTATTCATAAATCCGTCTTCGTTTTAACTTTAGTCAGGAAAAGCGAGCAAGGTAATGTGTAAAGATTTGTGCGTGCTTTCTAATGTGATGAAATGTAGGGCAGATGGAAAGGGGGGTGGAGGTGCTGAGAGGAATTTTTTTTTTGGTGGGGGCGGGGGGTGGGGGTGGCATACTAAGAGACAAAGCGACTGTCAGTAGTGACAGGTAAACTGACAAAGAGATAGATATACGCTACCTTAGAATTGCAAAGTTTTATCTGCCATTTTTTGGCCGTTTTGAGTGACAAAGACCATGAGGTCAGAAATTAAATGTATCTCCTCAATCAAAATCGTCAGGTTATCGAGCCATTATCACGGTATTCAAAGAATTCCAAAAAGTTGGACAAACTAATTTGTTTATTTTGTTCTTGCGCTAAATTTCTCAAAAGCAGGTACTGAGCAGATATACGGTAACTTTTGTAATTCTTGGCTAGTGATAATATAGTTAGACCTGCAGTGCACATGTATTTTTGGAGAGAGAAGAAGGAAACTGGTATTTGAAAATTAAAGAGATCACATGATCTATTTTCACCATCTCTGTTAGCTTCACCGGGGTTTTAGATTAAAAGTGCTGTATCTTTTCATTTATTTACAAATGTTTGTTCATTTTTAGTAAAGTAAGGGAAAGCGAGCAAGATAGTGTATACAGATGTGTTCCTGCTTTCTGAAGTAGTGAAATGTAGGGCAAAGAGGGCAGGTAGAAGAGAGGGGGAAAAGGAGGTGGGGAGAGAAATACATAGAGAAAACAAGACGGACAGGTAGACTGACAAAGAGATAGACATAAAATAGTCAGATCTGTAGTGCAGATGCATTTTTGGGGAGAGAAGAATCATAAGGAACTTGCTGGTGTCAAAAGATTAAAGAGCTCACCTGGTCTATTTCCTCCTTCCTTAGGAGCTTCGCCAAGATTTTTAAACGTAGTGTATCTTTTTATTTATTCATACGTCTTCGCATTTAGTTTAGCCAGGGAAAGCGAGCAGGATAGTGTGCCAACTTTGTGCTACGGAGCTTCACGAATAAGACATTTATGGGATACCTTAACCTTTATACATCTATCTTCTATTCCTCTTGAGAAATATTCCCCTCTGTGAACGCACTGGTCACTGCCAGACATTGACGGGAGAACTATTATTATTGTTACTAGTAGTAGTAGAAGTAGTAGTAGTAGTAGAAGAAGTAGTAGTAGTAGTAGTGGTA